CTCATTTGGAGATTTTCTGAAACAGCTGTGCGGCTTTTCTTTCCCTTCTTTTGATGTTGGGGGCCGTCATGAGATATCACTCGGGCGACTTTGATGACGTTGGGATTCAGATAGATACATAGCTAGTCACTCATGTAGCTTTTCCACTCCGCCCCCATGTGATGATCATGCAATCCATGGTTGTGGAACGCCAAGATAATGATAATAACCAGGTCAATAAATGGGTTTTCTTATGATACATCGCATCGCAACCCCAACCACACTCCAAAGCTTATTCGAAAATCCCCGGGGTCAGTCACATGTAAAGAGCAGGTGATAGAAACGCCACAGAAATGACCTTCTCCACCACCTCCACCACCACTGGAACTTCAACGCAGCCCTGTAGTATCTGAGGAGCTAATTGGCTTGTGCTCTTTGTGGCGTAGAAGGGACGTAGAATATCGGACATGCCCGGTATTCGAAAAGCTAACGGGCTTGTTGGTAGGCATCTCCTTCCGTATCATCCTATTAATGATCATATTGCCCCTGTATGACTTCGCCAAACTTTGTACGGATTCTTGTTGAAAAATCGAAGATCGGTTTTGCTGGCGGTGCCCTCCCCTTCCCCAAAGCCTTTATTCTCAATCGTCAAAACCAGTGACTGACCATCACAGTACTGTCTCCCATCCCATGACTTCTAGCAGCCAACCAGCCAGTCCACCTATCATTTCCGCACCCGTTGTCGTAGTCATTCATCCAATCATGAATCCCAACCCTGCCCGATCCTTCGACCTTAATACCCTGATAACTCTTGCCCAATCCCCACTCTCCCATATCTTCCAGCTGTTTCGTGGTCAGTATGTGAGTACGTTCAAGGTGTAAAATCAAATCTCAAAGGCAGGCCAGTCAGTGTCAGTGAACCCAACGGAGAAAAATCGTGATATCTGGTACATGTATTCCCACATGGAGTTATCCAGCCTCAAACAATGTTACAATAACAATAAGTACAATCGCAATGCAATACGAGTAAACAAACTTTTTTTTTCTCTCGCTAATTCCGCTGGGGGAAAGAAAAAGATTCAAAAAAACAAAAACACCTTTTTTTTTGTGCATTTTCCAAAGAATAAGACCGCCTCGGCTCAAAACTCGCCGTGTCCGTTGAGAAGTCCATGAAAATAGTAGGAAACATAAAAAGAACAAAAAAGAACCAGATACGCCTCACCAGCCCTGCAGTCGACAATCCAAAAAACACCTCCCTAATAAGGACAACAAATAGAAGAAACCACCTGCTGGATCGATCGAATAGAGTCGGCCGAGTTGGTTAGATCGGAGTGTAGTTTCGGCCAAAGATTATGGTACAGTTCCGTAAAAGACGGAAAGCTCCCGAGATTAAAAAGGTCGAAACTCGATACAGCAGGAAAACTTTTGTACTCGAAGGATCTTGGAAATGTCGTAAAAACGATAGCATTACAACCGAAATTCCGTAGCGAAGAAAACAATATACGTTGAGACCATATGACACAAAGGGATACCGCGTCACTGTATAACCATGATTAGTAGGATGCAAACCTCTGAGCAAAAGGAGGACCTACCTGATATCCATATCGTACTGATGCATAATCCATGCCGGATTTATCTGTAACCGTATCCGAGATTGTACTGCTTTAATGAACCATCCGTTAGACTGCCTGTGCTATTCGGAGTCGGATCCGATGCAAACATCGAATCGAGGGAATATTCGAAGCCTCTAACATTACTAAAGATTCCTTGCTGGTGTTGCTGCGGCTGCTGCTGCGGCTGCTGCTGCGGCATGCCCATGCAATTACCCATATCGTTCACTGGAGTGTTTGGAGTCCGCTGACCCTCGTTATCGAGTGACTGGGTATCGTCGTTGTTGCTTTCGAGAAGCTCGGCGTCGTATTCCTGGTCTACACACACACATGGATCAATCTAGGATGGCCGGGCTCTTTCATAACAGAGAAATGAAGGATGGGAAGTACACGGGGTAGCTTGCCGAGCTCTTCCATATGTGATTGGAATGGTGAAGGGTAAAAGTTTTGACCCATTGGAATTCCTGGATGAGGAAAGTCCTGTGGTGCAGTAGGAGTAGTTACTGCGCTATGGGGAATCTGGAATGATTGGTCTGGAGGTGTTGGAATAGCGATGGACGGTGAGGTTGTTCGCGAGTGGTTTGGCCTAAGAAGTGGGCTGGTTTTAATGTAAAGGGCCTCAGGCGGAGGGTTGATAGACGGACGCTTTTGGATGATTGGTCCTCCATGTATGGGTCGAAGGGCAGGGTGTTGTTGGATTGACTGTTGTCTAGAGAGAGACTGAGGCATTGTTTGCTGCGGCGCAGCTTGAGGTCTACCTGTGTCGTCATATTGGGCGAATGCCCGTAACTCCGCGGTGACATCAATGCCCTTCTCAAGGAGAATTCTCTCGAGCAGAGAATTCTTGTAACGAAGCATCAGTACCTCATCAGCAGCATTGCGAGATGACTGCTGAAGACTTGATAATGTTTCTTCATGATGTTTGATGGTTGCTTCCAAGTGTTTGATATATTCGGTTCGTCTTTCGCGGAAGGCTATTTTGATGTGTCAATAGAAACGTTAAAAATAAATGCAGACCCACACTTTCGATGACACATCGGAACTGGGACGTAGCCAACTGTTGTTGGAGAATTCAAAGTATAAAGATAAGGACCGTACCTGCTTGAGCAGCTCTGTTTCGCATTTTCCTCTCTTCCTGCGTTGCGTATACCGGTTTCCTCCCACCCTTCCTTTTCTGAGTCGGGAACTGAGCCTGCTCTGCCGTCGTCGCCTCTGGCGACGAGGCAGAGGAAGCTGAAGAGTGAGGAGGTGAGGTCTTGACAGCTGCCATTGCGATTCAGAGGGGTTGTCGATTTTAGAGACTGATACTAGTTGGTTGGCTGGCTTACTGCTGGATGGGAAAAGAGTCGAAAGCTTGAGGAGGTAGAGGGATGCTGGTTATGAAGCTTTTTTTTTGGAGAGGAGGGCAGTTGTGATGGTTGGTTGACAGAAATCCTTAAGACAGGGAACAGCACTAGTGATGGGGTGGGAACAGGACCTTCGGAGCTAGCCAAGGCAGAGGAACAGCAGGGGGAGAGGAACGACGATGATGTGCAGCGAGAAAAAAAAGTGGGGAAAAGGACTGCTTATGCAATTTCAATTCGCAGGCTGCCAGTCTAATTCGGTAGCGGCAAAACGTGGGGTCGCGGGCAGCTGCGCAAACATAAAAAAGAATTCAAAACTTCTTTTGCGAGAGGGAGAGAGGGAAAGGTGAAGGGAGGAAAAAGCAATCAAAAAAGCGACCAGGAACGACAATTGGAACACACGATGCAACACAAAGACCATGTCAGAAGGTTGGGTTGGGTCGAAGTATCTTTGGCACAGACAGTCACGGTACAGACAAGACAGTCTACTGACCACCAACTTAGCATAGTTCATGGGGATCTAGAGTACGTTAGTACATCTTCCTGTACTGTTCTACCTACCGTGTCTGCCTTTCCACTCTTCTAGCTCCCTCCCCATCGAGTGCGTGAGTGAGTGAGATTGAGTGAAGGAAGGAATGATCCCAGTATTTCTTCATTTTCTTCACCTGTCCACCCATCCATATCCATCCATCACTCGCTGCAACTCACGTCGTGCCACACACACCAAGGCCAAGTTACCGCACATGCATTTGATTCTTTCTCACACCTTCACCTTCTTCACTTTCTTTCTTCCCCATTCCCTCACTCTGTCCCTGTCCACCTACAATCACCTTTCTCTCGTCTACCTATTGCCCTCTCTTTCTCTCTAACCCCTCGGAAATCGAGTCAGAGCAAGCCAGCCCTCCTCAGGCTTTGTCTCCGGTAAAAAAAAAAATTTGTGTAAAAGAGAAAAAAAACCCAACGACAGAAAACGGCAAACGCTTCCGGCAGAATGCGAGTGGTGCTGCCTTGATTGGTCAATGAGGCCTCGTTGCCTCGGGCAGGGTCACGAGTGACGGCCACCTCCGATACTAGCCAGAAAAAGATCATTTTTTCCAACCAACCCCCCCTTCTCTTTTCCCTTCTCTCCAGGGACGCAAAGCCTTCTTTCTGTTCCGCGCAGATGCTCGATGCTGCTCTAAAACTGGAGAGCAGGGTGCACGATGCAGTCTCCGCTCACCAGCCTCCACTGGTTTAGTCCCGGTTCCCTGGACCCTACTCAGAAAATCGACCAAACCTTGTCGAAACTAACAAGCAGAGCCGCCCCCCGAAACTGGTGGATCAGCAAGAAGACACGACATTCCAGGGGCAAAACTGAATCAAAATAGGGCTTGCCCTGTAATGGTGGCCCATGGGAACTGCTCCTGTGTTGTGCTAGGATCTTTCCCCGCATTTTTCATGTCGTCTCAGTACACCCCCTTCCCACCGCAGACCGACAGGCAGCAGGTGTCTACACCGGTTGAAGCCGTGTGATGTGTGATGCAACGCAACGGGCAAAGTTTCATCTCGATCTACATTTCCTTTTTTGCCCTTTGTTTGCTTCTCCGCGGGGAGTATTTTCCCTCCTTCCATCCCAAGTCCCAAGTAAAGGTACATGTAATTCCTACGCAAAGTGCCTTGTAATGTAATCAATTAATTATGCTGTACTTTAATTGATACTGTATAATGCACCTGCATATAATCTAGAATAAATATGAAGATTTCTCCGATACTGGTGCCGCTGTTGCTGGGCTCTTGATGTTTAGTGCCTTTTGGTAGACCAGTTCTTTTATCGTTCAGCAGCTACAAAAATATCTAACTGCTATGAAGCAACATATCCAGGGTCTTCCCAATTTATTCGTTGTTCCCTGAGCCTGGTACGTTGCCTACTAGCTTCACTAAATTGTCAACCCTAGTACTAAAACCTTTTGGGGGACTTCGGACCCCCACTCATCCATACCTATCCCTTCGTCATCAAACTTCCCACTGGCTACTCTACCAGGAACCAAATTAACCCCCACGCGCACTCGCCTCGTCTAAGACTTCATATATGTCGTTTTCGTCAGCAGAGGTACATAATAATGAAAATTCTCCTCCACAGTGAGCCTGGGAAAGCAAGAAATAATACTACATTCATCCCACGTCCATAGCTCACATGATTGGTAAATCCAGAGCCGAGCATTTATTCCTCAGCCTTCTCCTCTCCTGACAGAGGTTGATCCAGGTCCAATTCCATCTGGGGATGCTCAGGCGCGTCCAGGTACGAATATGCCGCACGCTTGATCGATCACGTCACTTTGGTAGCTAAAAAGAGAGAAACCTATCGCTTCGACAGAGCTGAAAGTGATAATTCAACCTCCCCTAGGTTTGTCCCGCCAAATTCAATTCACTTGTCTTCATCCCACAACAACTTACTGAGTGAATGATTATGGTTAAAAATCTCAGCTTCACAAAATGTCGAAACTGGAACATGGAGGAGCCAACCCCGGATTGGTGACTCAGAATATCGTCGAAGGTATCGTTCTGGTACGACCTCGGGCTATTTACTCGTCCTTTTATTCGCCTTGTATTCTGAGAATAAAAAATCTTCATCAGGTCCTAGCCGCCGGAGAGGTGCAACTTCTTTGGGAGAAGCTGGTTCAGGTGGGATATTTTTTCCTATATGGAACGCTTGGCCCTGGCATATCTGACTTTGGTTGCCGCCAGACGCCCCACAGCAAAACCAACCCCCAAGTATCGGTCACCGGGCATCATTCGGCCACACAATGCCTGCGAATCTCAATTCTATGATCTACGTTCCTAATCTCGACGACACGTTTAATCGCGGGGCAGTTCCGCTAGATGATATTAAAGAAGCTTCTGAACGACAGACTATTACCCCAGAAAACATTTTGGACCGCTCGCAGACGCCTTTGCGGCAGTCCGCACGTCACACAAACCGAGTCGGAACTGGCCGAATAAGTCATGAAAACCATCGTGGCTTCGGGAACACGGCACCTACCCGTCCTCTCTCGGGACAGTTTGATGGGGAATCTGCCCCTGCGGAGGAAACGAATCCACCACCTATTGCCAAGACATTTGTTCGTCCGATTCCTCCGTTGGAATTGCTAGATTACCCGGTAATATTCAATCCCAGGGTAACCATGAACATGGCTACAAGCTCGCCGTTATATGTAGGTGGCGGCTGTGTAGATGGTAGGCTCAATATCCATATACGTGGAACAAGTCTAGATGATATCAGATTGGGCCGTGTAGGGATCGATATAGTTGGAGTTGAAGGCAAGTACTATTGTTTTAAATCTCTCCAAAACATCTTGAATGCAATATATTTACCTGATACGTAGAAATCTCATTTTTCCGTAAGACAATCTTTATGAGCATCGCCAGTGAACTCATTGATGATGAGCATCCACCACCGCCAGCTATTCTTCTTCCTACAGATTTTGATCAGAAAACATTCTGGAAAGTGAAACCTTCGCGATCCTTTCTTCCCTTTCGCCTGAACCTACCACTGAACGTTGGTCCCGGTCCATTTCAATCTGTCAAAGCTCGGATACGATATATCATTCATGGGTATGAAATTCTAGCCTTGTGTTTATTTGTTTTCCCTCTCATCCAAAAAAGAAGAAAAAAAAGACCAAGCAAAAACAAACGAAACAAGGCGGGAGTTGAATTTATAATTCTAGGACCGTAATGTATACCGTCAACGGTAGAAAGAATATAGTCCGCTGTTGCAGGGACATTCGCGTGATCTCAGCCTTAGATCCTGAAAGAGCTCTATTACCCCTGGAAACCCCGCTACTAACCACTGAAGAGGGCCCGCTGAGGTGGGGAGGGTATGACACGTTGAAGGTCACGGCAGGCTTGCATCGTGCGGTATGGGTTTCTGGAACCGTGGCATACGTCGACGTGAACATCGTGAACAATACACGTAGGAGGGTTAATACAATCCGATTGAAGCTAAGGCGGCATATACTAGCTTATAAAAATGTGAGTCCAGATTTGTTCCCACTTTGCTAATAGCTTTGCTTTTTTGTTTGCTTTTTCCTTATTCTTTTACATATTTTTCATTTTTCCATATTCTTGAACCCCACTGAGTTCACGTGCGCAGACCGTAGCATTAGCAGAAAATAAATCTGCTGGACATCTTAGGGTTCCCAGCTGGATCGAGCATAAAACACTTGCGCAGTCTGAGTTGAATGTAGGGAGGCGTTGGAAAGGTGTTAAGGGTAACCAATTGGATGTTGTGACCTGTGAGATCGAAATACCAAGGAACCAACTATCTGTGAAGATGGGTCGGTTCTTTGAAGTTAAGTATTTTGTAGATGTTGCCGTGTGCACTCTTGCGGCGTGCGTAGCTTACTATTCTGTGCTTTTACAAGTATGCATTGCTTTTTGCGTTGATGTGATTCACTAATTTGGTAATATTAATATTTAGGAAAACCATAAGGTGTCAGCTACCTCTAACTATCATTCATATGGTTTGTTTCAAATTATTCGTCTATTTTATTAATTGCTCCATTCCAGGTACTCTAACACATGTAGAACTCGCTTGATATAATGCCGAATCATCTTTTACAGGTGGCCGAGGCCTTCGGAGAAAAGTACGGCACTGGACGAGGCTACCAAATCGCAGGACGTGCGTTCACGGCACCCCGGGAAAGTGTACTAATCCCAGAACGCAAGGGGTCACTTAGGCATAAACATAGTCATATGAACCCAGCCAACCCCAAAGTGATCACCTCTACAAAAAACTCATCTGGCAGAAACTCAGGAGTGTTGATACCGGGTCTCGAAGAAAAGAAGCCTTCTCCAGACAGTACTAGTAAGATAGCAGCTGCCCAAAGGAAACGAAAGATCACCTTAGATGATCCCAGGAAACTAGATATAGATGTTCCTAGTCTCGGGCCCGGCAACCCATGGGCCGCGGGAATGGGTCCCGAGCAACAGAGGGAAATCCGGGAAGAGCAGCAGAAACAGTATCACGATGCTGAAAGAAGAAGGTCAAGTGCAGTTTCATCATTCGCGGAGGGTTCTAGAGTTACCATGAGGAGAGTCAATAAGGACGACGAAATACTGGGGGGTATGGGGGGCTACGGGAGCGTCCTGCAGGATAGTCTTATTTAGCCGTGGGTAGTAGTCGGTCGGTCAGTCGTCCTCGCCGCGTTGTTGTCGGAGGTAATTTGCGGAGGATCGTCAGGGCCGTTTTCTTGGCTGGCTTGTTTCGGTCAACATCGAAGGAACGTCGGAGGCGTCGTTGGGGGAAGAGAGTGCGTTCAACTAATTTTTTTTTACTTTCTTTCCTTTTGCTTTTAAAAAGGGTTCAAACGCGTGTAAGGAACACAGAAATGACTTGTAATTGCCGTTTGGGTGTGTTAAGCCTTGTCGAGATGTTTGTCTTAGAGGAAGGAGGGTTGCTATTATTACAATGCGCAGGAACAGACGACTTTGGCAAGGAGAGAAAGGATTGCTTTTCTCAAAGGAGCAGACTACATGAATTCGACCACATGAAATTATTGCAGGCTGTAGCACAAGAATTGTCTCTTGCTAAAACAGAGGACATGAGGAATGGATAATTATCTACACTAAAATCAAGGTATTTTAAACATTGCATTGCATTGTGTGGAAACCAGACAAGAAAACGAAATTTCTGGCCCTCCAAGATCAGCTTCCTCGCATAAATCAATCTCATCAAAAAATACGAGCGCATAGGCCACATGGAGTCATTCATCGGAGTTCCCCGCCAATGTTTTCCACCAGTTTTCCCCTTCCTTGATGTTGAACCTAGGCTCTTCGATCCTACGTACACCCACAATGATGATGATGTATGAACCAGCCCATCAATCATCATCACACTCGTACGAGGCGAAGATCATAATCAATTACCGGCGGGGGGATCAGAAACAGGCGAACAAGCATAGATCCATCAAGGGTGAAGAAATTTCTCCGACGCACTCGTCCATGGGCCATGGCTCACAGCCCTAGGTCTAGAGTACTTTACCTGTGTCTCCAGCCCCTCGCAAAAAAACGAAGGGAAAAAAAAACCTGTGCCTTGCTCCTCTGGTGCTGTGATGCGGTGAGGAGCTCCCTACCCTACTCTAGAGTAGGTACCACCACCATACATAAACCCTAGACGGATTTCAATCGAGGATCGCGTATGTAGGCAGCGAAGGGGGAGGGAGGGAAAACGCTGGTTCGGCGGGCGGGGCTTTGGCCGAAGTGGATTAGTGCTGATTGCCGTGGGGACATATTTAATAACTCTGCTGATATGGTCTTTCTGCTTCAAGGACGGCATGTTGAGCCGTACAGCTGGAGAGATAAAAGCAAAAAAGAAACACTAGATACCCGTTGACTACGCGTGCAGATGGATGCAGGCGGGATAAGCTGCGGGCGTGGCCTAAATGACGGGAAACTTGTAGGGATGAGGAAATCCTAGAGTGTCGATGGGTGAGGGTAAGAGAATTGGTACCTGTCTACTAAATTAGTACTCTAGCTCATGGAGAGAGGACGTTTTCAATGCTGATTTCGCTAAAGTTGGTCGTTTTGGGTATGGCCCTTCTCACTGATTGGTGGTTGATTGGCTGGGGTCCTGTTGTTTATTTTGCAGTCTAGCTAGATGCCCACTTGAGATAGATAGCGAGTATGGAATTGAACAGTTTAAATTTTCCAGCTGAGAAGACGACGAACACCGTTTGAGATATTTTGTTGTTGCCCCCATTTTTTCCTTTTTTCTCTCTCTCCTGGGCGTTGGCTTGCATGTTTTTGTGGGGTAACGGCTTGTGTTCTAGTCCTGGCGTTTTAAAGGAGGGGTTTGCGCCTTTTTCTCTCTTCCTGTTGGTGCCACTTCTGACATTTGCGGCTTAACTACCGACCGGCGACCGTTGACTCGATATCTATGGCGTGATATTGGTTGGTGAATACATACGCCTTTGGTCACAACCATTTTGAAGGAGAATCAATCATGAAATCTCACTCGATTGCGAAAGCAGGGCTCTAGATCTAGTAACTTCAGGGGGCCGTTTAGATGGATGATTAAAGCTGATCCTGAATTAATCGGCAGAAAAATATCTAGATTTGACAAAATTGACATCCCCTAGTGATAAAAATAGGTGGGATTATCGTGTGGTGCGATATGCAGTTTCTTCTAGAGTAATGAAACTTGCTTAATATTGCATGTAGTATGATTCTGAATTGAACACTGTTTTCGCTTTTTCAGGTAGATCTTTAATCGTCTAGGTAATTCTGGGCCCCCTTAGACCGCGGTAACTATCGGCCGGTAGGTATTATGGACGTCGCCCGGAGCCGAGAGGTTGAAATAAGAATTGTTGAAGTGTTGGAAAGTTTTTGTGGCGAAAGCCACCACTTTGAAAAAGAAAACTCCCAACGTATGAAATCACCTAGAAGCACTTTGTTTGGTGCCTCTGGTTTCACTGTCCAGATCCTCGCCACTGCCGCTCGGCGGACCGGAGCTCCACAGGTTAGGAAGGAGAAATTTCAATGGCGAAGGCTGAGAAACTCCTCAAGTTTGATGCGAGCGGCAAAAATAATTTTCCCCGGCTCAGTCTTCAACCGCTTGTACACAGGCAAATTGTTAACTTGCCGTATTAGTTCGTAAGGTCGTTTGAAATAACGCACGATAAAAAGCAGATACTTCAGCCTTGAGGTATTAGACATGCTTTCGAGCTTCTCATAAGTGTTTCGCGGCCAGGATCTACTATTGAATGTAAATTGACTGTTTCAAAAATAGGGGTGACTCGAGGTGAAAACCAAATCGGCATTGATGTTTTCTTGCTGTATAAGGAAAGCGGTGATACTTGTGGACTAAGCCCAAAATAAACTTTTGTTCATGTCCATCCAAGGAGAGAGGTAGCGTGGTATGAGTGCTGAGAAACCAGCAAAAGTTCAAAAGATATGTTTTAGACGTTGTGGAGCTGATCTAAACCATAAATGATGTCAAGGGTAGTTTAAATATATGAGGAATCCATTGGTTTTCGATCTCAGATATTAGGGGCGTAATAGTCCCATCTTCGGCTGTCCTGGGGCGTTTGTTAGAGAACTATTGTCTCAGATGGCCTTCGTGAATGGCGGCACTCCTAGCGATGACTTGAGGATCGGTTAGAATGTCAAGAAGATGCGGGGTGAGGTGGGATGGAATGGTAATAGGAAGAGGATACAATCGAACTGATAACATCAATTCTGATGCGAGAGATTCATGAGATATCGTGCCTAGGCCGTCGCATGTGCTGCGGCTCTTCCCCGCACCCCGCCTCAAAGTGTAAGTAGACCGAAACATAATAGATGTAGGTAGTTGAGTGAACCTTATTTTGGGTGTTGGATGGGAACGTGGATTTGTTGCGGCTGTGAAGTCAACCCACACTTAGCGATCTCTCTATTGACTTATATGCCACCCGATAAGGGATCACCAATATGCGGGGCCGCCGTGAGAATGCGAGTGATAGATTATGATTGTTATGTTTGCTGCTTAAAAATCTTGTCTCGTGACGTAACCATCTTTAAGACTTTGACCAACATTTTCCGATAAGATAACACGTATAGTGCTAAGCTTAATATTATCATCTAAAAACCTCCATGCGTGACTTCAACCCCCTCACTGTCATCCATCACCTCAGGGTCAGTTGATGAAAGAGTTCTCGATTCTTAAACCGGCAGGTCTATCAAATATCACCGTTTATTTGCAAGTTAATCTACCGCTTAGCCTATCAAATATCACCGTTTATTTGCAAGTTAATCTACCGCTTAGCCTATCAGGGATCGAGTACACTGACAGTTACATGCATATCTCACAGGGTCAGCTACACACAATCACAGATTGAGGATGTCACAACTGCCACACCCATAGCCGGCTTACCAACTGCCCCTTTTGCTGATGGGTTTCAATCCCTTATCTATAGCCATTGCCAGAACACGCTCAACTCAAGGATCTTCGACAGTTACTAATAATTACAAGAGAATATGGTCGTGCTCTAGTTTCACAAGAGAGAGATTTTATACTTCGGTTATTCAGCGATATTGGCTATCCGAAAAGAACAATGTTTTGCTTCGGTGGCAGCTACAAGCGGTGGTATTTTTATTGATAGTCACAGACAGCTATAGTTCAGATATTCTTGCTTTTGTGGCCGTTCTCGAAACTACGTGTGCATGATTTTTCCTTTTTGAAATTACCAGCCTACACTTATCAATAGACTCTGGTCCCGAAGGACTTGAAGGAACCCCCCAAGCATACGACCGATACCTCGAAGTCGAGATATCTTGATGCTATCCTCATTTCAAACGGTCTTGTGAGCATTAGCGACGTACTCCAAGTTGAACGTTATTTACCCCTACTCATAGAATCTCACTCGATCCTCAGCCTTTCTTTCATTGTATCCTTACACGGACCCCTGCATTCAACTTACAGGTTTCCGACCCCACCCACTAATACTAATCCCCCGGTACAGTTACCCTTGTTCTAAAAATAGGTGTATTTACCGAAAGATCACCGGTAAGATAGGGATGGTATGTCCCTTGTGCAACAGCATACTCTATTCTTTCTAGAACATCATAGATAGACAAGCATATTCAGCTAACTGACTTACGATACTTGAATGGTGGTACTTTACGTCATATATACCAAGCTAAACAAAGCCGCCAAAAATCGGTTTAGGTCTTCAAATTTGATCTTCATTATGAATTTCTACTATAAGAAGAAAAGAGAAAGATATAAATTATACAAGTGATCGGGGCATTAACCAAGTTGCCGGTTCGACGTGCCATACATTGCCGGTGAAATATTTACACAATCAAATTTCGGATGCATTTCTTTGGAGCATGAGCATGCAGCAACCAAAGACTTTTCTAGCGTCATAATTTGGACGCCATGTGCCTTTATCTCTCTAGAACCATGGTTGATCTAGAAGCCTTGAAGCTTGTTTCCTCGGTTGGCACACACCCCCCCCCCCCCCCCCCCCCCCCCCGCGGGGGACCTGCCCCTAAACTCCCGGCAATCCCCTCGGACCTGTTGCGGCTGCCCCATGATTTTGGATATTATCTAATTGCCTATCAAAGTTAACTCCAGAGATCGATCTAATTCAGGGTGGGATACCAACCGATCGGGCAATGAATCCAATATAGTTTTGCTCGATTCTGTTACTCGTATAACTTCCCGCTCCTGCTGGGGATTATCGGGCTGTATGCGTTGGTAAGGGGCGGCTAGGACCCATGAAATAAACATAAAGTTGAGGATAATCAGGGCTCGTAAAAGCATAGTTGTTTTATCAATGCAGGAGGTTTTGGCAGATGGTCCTGTAGCTGAGTTGGAATTATCAAGATGAAAGGAAGGAGGCTAAGGACTTTAACGACTCCAAAAGAAGGCAAGCGATCATTTTTAAACACTGACTAAGTGAACTTGATCTTAAGAAAAAGCTTCGCGCGGAGAAAAACGTCGGTGGAGCTGTAAACCTCCGGTGGCATGGGGGCAGCTGTGTGGGGAAGGGTGAGACATGTAAAAAGGGCGCTGGCTGCGGTAGGCCCATGAAACCGGTGGTAAGATCCTATGTTGTTTACTGTTACTGGAGCATAATCGAAGACTACTCCAACTGTTATGGGATTTCATTCATGACATGATATTTGGATGGTAATCTACACATCATTAACAACTTTCCGATTGACAGTTTTCGACCCTGTCTGACATAGGATTACATGTGGGTTTAATTGGCATGCACTGGCATGTAGTGCCAAGTTGCGCAGCAGGTGGTACAGATACTCTGGAAGTCGGTAGATGTGGCGTTTCCAGCCACATCTATTTCTAGTAACCACATACAACGTTCCACCAACTAACCTCACCCCAACAACATAACAGGCGTTCTCTGCTTTATTAGGGAAATCAATTTTCTGCACAGCTAGAGCTTCTAATTATTAATCATCTGCTGTTTACATATCCTCAGGCGGAGTACATGGACGTTTCGCTAAACAAAGTACTATTCGTGGAGTTTTGGTGTGGGGCTTATTGGACAACCTCACCGGGGCAGGACAGGGCAGGGCTACTTTATTACTACTTCCTAGTGCATCCGACAAAACACCCCCGAACATCGTTGTGCCATCAAGCGGCATGCTAAATTCTTCTGTCGGAATTATCTTCAGAAGATCCCACCATCGGTCGGTCACAATTGTGCTGTCTCTTCTCACTCATCGGCTTAGCGTTAGGAATCTGATACACATGCCATGAGTTGAGTAATTACCAAGCCACAGGCAAACTAGCTTCGATTGCACACCGTACGGTAGCTTAGGGCCACGCACCAAGACAAGAATCAAAGTCATCATTCAAGTCCGGCTTCGACCGGGTATTACTATATTGGGTGGGCTCACCGACCACTGGTCACAGAGGATAGATATAAGAGCTTGTGGATTCGTGCCCATCATGTTTCTTTCCTTCCTCATCACTCTCACAGATCAAGTCACTCATTTCGGCTTTTCTCGAAAGCCTTACCTTCCTTTTTATCTTTATACAAAGAACCCGGTGTTCTTCTTACCTTCTTACGCTCCTTTGATTATATCCTTTATACCAATCCTTTTTACCAATCCGGTTACCACAGTCGTTTCATTTTTTTACATTCCCTTTTTTTTATAGCACATTCTTTTGAAAAGCATTCGCAATGCGTCAATACCTTGTTTCAGGTGTTTTCCTCTTGCTCGCTGCCTCTTCAACCAACGCGCTTCCTACAAGCCTAGAGGCCCGATCAAACAACCTAGCAGTTCGATCTTATACTGCTTCAAGCGGATCAAGTGTTAACTATGCTGCGCCTGCCGACGAGTCTGTTCTAGACGCTCCCGCCGACGAATTTGTCGGTACATCTGATGCGCCTGCCGACGAGTCGGTCGAAGCACCCGCCGATGAGTATGCCGGCGAGGCGCCTGCTGATGAGTCCGTTGAAGCTCCTGCAGACGAGTCTGTAGACGCACCTGCCGACGAGTATGCCGGCGAGGCACCCGCTGATGAGTCTGTTGGAGAAGCACCTGCAGATGAGTCTGTTGAAGCACCCGCCGATGAGTCTGTAGAGGCTCCTGCCGACGAATATGCTGGAGAAGCCCCTGCGGATGAGTTTGTTGGTGAGGCTCCCGCCGATGAGTCTGTCGAGGCTCCTGCCGACGAGTCCGTTGATGCTCCTGCCGATGAGTCTGTAGAGGCTCCCGCCGATGAGTCCGTCGATGCTCCTGCCGATGAGTCCGTAGAGGCTCCCGCCGATGAGTCTGTCGAGGCTCCTGCAGACGAGTCAGTTGAAGCGCCTGCCGATGAATCTGTTGATGCGCCTGCCGACGAGTCCGTCGAGGCACCCGCTGATGAGTTTGTTGGTGAAGCTCCTGCAGATGAGTCTGTTGGAGAAGCACCTGCCGATGAGTTTGTTGGAGAGGCTCCCGCCGATGAATCCGTTGGAGAGGCCCCCGCCGATGAGTCGGTTGAAGCTCCCGCGGACGAGTCAGTCGAGGCTCCCGCTGATGAATTTGTTGGTGAGGCCCCTGCCGACGAATCCGTTGGAGAAGCACCCGCCGATGAATTTGTAGGAGAGGCCCCTGCCGACGAGTCAGTTGGAGAAGCCCCTGCCGATGAATCTGTTGAAGCACCCGCCGATGAGTTCGTTGGAGAAGCACCCGCCGATGAGTCCGTTGGAGAGGCCCCCGCCGACGAGTCAGTTGAAGCTCCTTCCGATGAGTCTGTCGAAGCCCCTGCCGACGAGGGAGTCACTCAGGCAATTGATGCGCCCGCCGATGGTGATGAAGTTATTCCAGATGACGAGTCTGCTCCCGATGGTGCTGATGAAGAGGCTGCCCCCACCGGTGGTGATGATGAGAGCGCTGGTGGTGATGATGAGAGCACCGGTGGTGATGATGAGAGCACCGGTGGCGATGATGAGAGCACTGGTGGCGATGATGAGAGCACTGGTGGTGACGACGAATTCTTCGAGGACAACGAGGAAGCTGAGGGCATCGCCGACGAGCAGGGTGAAATTGACGACAAGGAGGCAGCTGCACCCACCGCCCCTTCCAAGCCTGCTGGTGGTGCAAGTGAAGCTCCTGCCGACGAGGGAGCCCCTGATGGTTCCGACAACGAATCTGCCGGCGGTGATGATGAGAGTGCCGGTGGTGAGGCTGATGACGAGGCAGCTGCTGAGGCCGATGATGAGGTAGCTGGTGAGGGTGGTGATGATGAGGAAGTCATCTTGCATAGGTAAGCATTTGGATTCATATAATCTCTAATAATCTCTTATAGACACTAACAGATTTTGAATGATATAGCATCAAGAAGAGGGCTGTTCCCTTCACCGCTTAAGTGCGATCAATCTCTTGTATGTTTCTAGGATAGGCGATTTCTTTCTTCTTTTGTTTGTATCGAGATAGTAGGGAATGTTTAGGGGGTCTGGAAAAGCAGAGTAAAGAATGCGAGAGGGAGTTGAGGGATTTTATTATATGACATTGTTTTTTTTTTACCGTTTATCATCTTTGGGGGTTTTTCATAGCAATTTTTTGTTCCGCTTTTCCATCTGTTTTGTATTTTTTGCGGGATAGTTTAGCGATCTTCCATTTTATAGAGAAGAAAAGACAACTCTTTTCCGTTATAAATTGTGCAGCGGGTGATAGGTTGTGATGGAGTGATGAAACGGCGGTTCGATCATTGGCTCCCTCTTTAGTCTTTGGTGCGCAACCTCGCCTACTGGATACCGTCTCTACCGTCAAGTCGTCCAACAAAATCATGTCAGGATAATCTATAGATAAACCAGTCACTAGCTTTCTTAATCAACTGTGTCATGGGCCCGTATAGGCGAACTAAACTCGCTAGCTATCGTCTGTCGCCGATAGTCTTCCATCCAGACTTTTCCCACTGACGGTCGCCACACTAGGATGTAATAGACGAGTAAGTATTAAAGCATCAGACAAGCAACATCTTTACACACACTAGTGCGAGCGTCCCGCTTAACCCATGATCGCTGTGTATGAAGAAGGGCTAGCTCTCTTCTCCCTCCTCCTCCTCATCAGTGTCTCTGTGTTTCGCCCGCCTCTGCATCTTTCTTAGACGGGTGGTAGCAGTGAAATAGATGCCCATATAGCTATTTGGGCTTAAGTTGACGGTAAAGGTTGGCGGAGGCGTAGTCGGAGAGGGGAGTTAACTGGCGCCCTTGACCTCGCGGTAGTGTTTTGTATTCGTATCTGTGGGGTACTGCGACTGAAGTCTCGAAGGGGGGGGGGGGGGGGGGGGGGGGCGGCGCGGTGTCTTGTTGCCCAGCGGTGTTGTTTGATCAGCTGCGGGTTGGGTCTTGTGTGAGCGGGAAAAGGGCCTACCGGGTAACAGTAGAAAGTGAAGTTTATCCAAATCCACCACCACAACGTCCACCACAACCATCGATATCATCGCCGCCAACATAACTGCATCGAACTGTCCCTACTCCATACAAACCCTTTGAAATCTCCGTCTCCATCCCCACTAATGACGTTAAACAGTTAAAGTCAAGAAACCAAGTTCCAAACATTTGGAGAGAATAGCTGGCTGTATTGCACCTGGTCCACTATATATATCTTGTGCTGAAACATCCCCCCATCTCATCTCCCACTCACATATAGGGACTAAAATACTAGATGTGTCCCTTCTTTTTCAAGATAGGGGCTTACCTTGCGTCCTAGAGCAGGGGCGAAAAATATGGAGGGGGAAGAATAATAAGATAAACGGCCACTCGAGCCCGGCCCGGCAGCTCGCGATCGGGACATGTATATATAGGCCAAATACTAATCAACCAACCTACTAACCCATCACGAGCAGAGTATATATAACAAAGCCGGCCCCCAAAAAACGTAGTGGGGAGAAAAGCTTTACGCCTCCTCATTCTTTCCTAACGCACCATGCAGCCCAGTCAACACGTCTTTACGGGGAAAAACATGGAAGACCACTAAGTACTAACAATGATAAAGAGATCTAGATCATTACTTATCCGAGCTGACGCTGAGCTGGAGAGAGGGGGGGGGGGGGGGGGGGTAGGATGGGCTTTATCAACAATCATAATGGAACTTACGGCCGGTGGTGATGGTTATATATCTGCAGGGAAATAACGCAATATAGTGTAAGCTCTACCCACAACAATTTTTTTCTGTTGGTTCACAGCTTATCACTCGATACCACCAACGCCAACCAACGCCAGTCAGGCATAAGCACAAACTATCACTCGTCTATCTCGTCCCTTCACACACCACATTTCCAGAGTCACGAAACACACAACTGCGCACATGCACAATAATCAGAATCTAGAAATTTCTATATTCTCTACCCCACCATCCCCATCACCATCCCCATCACCGCTAGTAGTAATAGCAGTAGCAGTAACACATAAAAACCACACCCCTAAACATATTCCCAAGCAAAGTTTCCCATCGCAACAAAAACCAACAAATAAAGGAGCGCAAGGAAGTTCCATTCCAAAGCACAACCAACAAGCCAGACATTACCCACGCCGGTAAAAAACAGAAACACACCATTGCCATATCAAAAAAAAAATAAAAAAGCGAGAAAAAAACATGTCCCAACAATCCACCTCTGCTCGCCATCACCACTAGGTATCGTAACAGTGTCCGCCGCCCTATCTTACACTATATAAGTCTTGTATGAGACATAAAAAAGGTCTAGTTATGTTCAATCGGGTGCTCTGGGAGGAGCTCCCGGTGGCCCTCCTCGTCGACTGTGCCGTCGTGCTGGGTGAGGACATGCTTCCCGATGCAGGCGGCCATTGGGGGGCGGACGAGCTCTGTTTTGTATGTTAGCCATTTACCCGAGATTGAGTAGGATGGTAGAGTTTATTTACCATTGAACAAGAAGGTTCCGTAAACCAACAACGCGAACCCAAGAACCTGAAGGGGCTTAAAGGTCTCCCAGTGGAGCGCCAAGCTGAAGATCCAGATGAACAAGGTCCTGCAAGTATCGATAATACTCCTGGCAGTGGCGCTGATGCTCCTTGTAACACTGATACCAAAGAAGTTGAAGCCACCAATCGAGACCATGATCGCGACGGAAGACATCGCAACAGCGCGGTAGCTGGTGATCTGGCGGAGTCCCTCAACGGCGTCAAAGTAACCGTACTGGCCCTCGGGGTGGCTACCAATGGTAATATGGAGGAAAACCATTCCAACGACGGTGACAATGAAGCCGAAGATACCCTCCCAGCCGACAACCTTCAATGGCTCAAGGGCGTAGTTCTCGAGAATCCATTCCTCGGTTACGAACTGGGTTGCGGTAAAGATCTGAGCACCAGCAATGAGGAGGATACCGATGATGGTTCTAAGGGCGGCGCTGGAGGCGTTTTCTTCAATCGGGGCATCGTCGTGGAGTTTGGGGACGAGTTCCCTCTCCTTGAAGAGGGCTCCAGCAAGACCGACGATTCCAACACCGAGAACGACGACAAACAACGCGAACCACTGGAAGGGGCGGAGGTGGCGCTTCAGGAACAGGACAGAGAAAAGACCAACAAAGAGAACAAGGGCTCCACGGGTCATTTGGTAGATTGACGCGGCAACAAAGAGGAAACCAACGTTCATGAGCGTCGTTCCGGCAATATCACAGCACGCCGGGATGGCGAGGAGGAAGACCTTCAATCCAGTGATCGGGGTACGGCCATCGGCGTTCTTCACGAGCGGCTTAACAGTGGGCGAGACATGGTGGGTGGGTTCCTCGCCTCCCGCGACAGGCTCATACCCGGCGCGCTGACGGCGGTGCTCGGCTAACATCTTTGAGAGCGAGAAGCAACCAACGATCAACCAGCAGCCCATCTCACCGATAAACATCTGGAGACTGTTTATGAAACGCTTGTTAGCTCCTGGTCCTCTGTTTCCGTAGCTACCCGAGTTTCAGGGGACCGGGGGGTAGGGCAGCTTACGTCTGCATAACTGGCTGCTCGAATACATGGCGTTTCGCAGGGTTTGGATCGTCGCAGTTGCGGACGCACTGCATGTCCTGGTATTTCGTCAAGAGGGTATTCGCGACACCTGTCGTGAGCATCTGTGGAGCTGTCAGTACGGAGGCATTCCCTTATCAGTGCCGAGACCGGGGATAGGTAGCTTACACCAGTGACCAGCAACGCGATGACTGCTTTACTTGTCATGATTGCGAGCTGTTATTGGTGAGAGTATGGGAGAGACTCGTCGAGAGTCGAGTGGGTGTTTTGGAGTTGTTGTGGGGAGGACCAGCTGTGGGTGCTGATGATGGGAAGAGGAAGAAGAGAAGGAAGGTGGCTTTGTCCGGAGAGTTGAGAGGTTGTTGCTATCGCATCTGAGACATCACGAGGGTCCACACCGGCCGATGCAACCATGCAGGGGTGAGAGCCTCCCGAAATATACACGAGATAATCAAAATCTACCTTTTATACTTACTGTATAACACGGAAGTAATTGTTAATTATATTATAATTATTTAGAAGTTTTTGGAGTAATTTCCTTCATTATTGCATCACATCACGTGAGCAGCGTCAATGATAACTATAGCCGAACAAAGCGACCCCCCGGCTGTTTATCTTGTTCTGTCAAGCCTGGTGGGACTTCAGGCGTTCAGTGGCCGACCGGATGCGAGATAAGTGCCTACAGACCGTTTTTTGTTTACTTATCATCCCCCTGATATCATAGAAGCGATGAGTAAATAAAGAAGAGAGGTCAATGATCGACCGCAGTTATGCACAATGTCCCGAAGTCCCCCTTATATGTACAGAGATATCAATGGGTAAATACACAAAGTATAACAACTTTAAAACGAGGGACGCGGGTGTTCCCAAAGGCTATTCTGAAGCTGTTGGTGTTTTAGGTTCTGTGAACCGTTCACCAAGTTATGATTGACTATATGTAGTCAACCAAAGTACATAATGAAGCGGCTGTAGCTTTCTTGGCCTTCGCGCATAACCGTTCAGATTATCTATTTACCGCTAAAGATATAGGGCTAGAGAATCTTGGGCTTTAATAACGGCCAAAAGACAATGTATAATAGTCCTGGTTCTTTTGATGGGGAGAGCAGGATATTTCTTGCCCGACAAAGTATATGCACTACTGCTTAGACCGTTTCAAGCTTCTCATACTGTAAAAAGTACTGTGGTTAGTATATCAATCACCAAGCAAGGTAATTTGTCCCTTAACGTTCGGACAAGATTAGGCTAGTGAATGCAACGGCAGTGATCAATGACCAAAATTAGTTACTATTGTAGCCGGGGGCTCTTCTTTTTCACAGCGAATGTGTTACTGTCCCGTCCCAAACATCAATTATTAGTGTTAGCCCCCAATTTTACCTTGTTCCATACATGTAGGAATGAG